CCGAGAAAAGGAAACCATTCCACAGGCTTAGTCATACATAAATGACATTGTATTCCATCTCCTTGCTTTGTAAATATTGTTTCACAAATTATAGATAAGAAATTTAGATGTTTTTAGATGTTTTAACTGGATAAATTTCTTTTTTTTTTTTCATCTGCAAAGTTTTCATCCTTTAGTGTCAGAAGGCTTGCATTATATTTTGAACCACTGGGTATTATTCATAACAAAGCTCTTAAGTAGGAATTGGCTTTATTTAAAGAAGAGAAAGAAAAAAGATTCCCAGTCTTTGAGCTTTAAATACAGATACTCTAAAATCAATTTTGATGTTGTTTTCCAATGTCGTTTGCCTTGTTAAAAGTATTTATTCCTTTACCTCTCCCCCAACACCAGCACCAGAAGCACAGCAGTTTCCCCCATCTGGTGCTCTTATCTAGAAACATCACTAAAAAAAGCAGGTATGTTGTCTCATTTTCTTTAGCAGCCAAATGATTTTAACACTATCATTTGACTTAAAATTTGCTGGAAAAAATTCTATCTCAAATGTGTGGAACTGCTATACAATAATTTGACCATTTATGGTCAAAAAATTTGACCACAGCTATGAGAACTATCTTTGAAAAGATTTTTTAGATAGCTGAAATAGCCAGGTGTGGTGGTGCACACCTTTCATCCCAGCACCAAAAGGCTGAGGCGGGAGAACTGTCCTCAGTTCAAGGCCAGCCTGAACTATATAGCAAGACTTTGTCTCAAAAAAAAAAAAAAAAAAAGTAAAATAGCTGGAAAAAAATCATATTACTTTTATGGTTATATTAAAAATAATTGCTGAGGTCAAATTATATAATAAAAAAATAATTTCTCTAAATATGAATTACATTCACATTAGATATAATTCTTTCTACATATGAAAGAACAAGAACTAACTCTTCCATTAACACTTTCTGGAAATTTCTTGAAGCCAGTTTATTGTGATCAGTGCCTCATTATCTTTTATTTATTCTTTGCCTAACAAGGTAATTGAGACTCATGCTCTTTTAACTGTAACTAATTATAACTCAAGGAAGAATCAAATATGTTTTAAGGTCCTACTCTCGACCACAAATTTAGCATATGTGATAACGATGAAACTTGGGCCAAGCTAATGAGCCTGTTAGGCCCAACGTATAAGAGAACCTACAAAGCTAAGAGAAGCTGGAAACCTAACATAATGTCACAGGGCTCACAAGGGGCCAGCAGATTCTTTTTAGCTCATGTTCTTTTGACTATAATTGTTATGATGTCAGTATACTATAGGGCATCTCTAGGAAAATGAAGGACAAAATGAATGTGCAGTTTTTCACCCAGTGAGCAATGTCTTAATGAACTTACTATTTCTAGAAGATAAACAATGAGGGACAAAGGTCAGGGGAAGGCTTTCTTAAAAAAAGAAAAAAAGCAAGATAGTGAAAGAGTTAGGTTCCTGTGACACCCAGGGCACTAATCCTTTCAATCCTTTAATTTATTAACTAATACATTTTTCTTTTCTGGGTTTCTGGTAAAGTACCTTTCACACTCAGAAGTTAAAGAAAGTGAATAACCCAGGTCAAATGAGACAGTTAATATAATGAATTCAGTCTCTTTAATAATTGAACATAAATTAAGGTCTAGCTTTGAAGGAGCCAACAAATCTTTGGCTTTTATTTTAAACTGAGACTAGATACACTTGAGTTTCCACTGACAGAACTGAGCTGAGAACTCAGAGGAAATGGGAAGACTGTCTTTTTTGCTGAGGAAAATGAAACTTTTTTAATATCAATTTCACCTAAAACAAATTATTATTATGTGCCTATTACCAAAAGAAGATGATATTTCAGTTTCTCTCTGAACCAAGGATCCAATGATTGTCCTGAAAAGCAGTGATTACAAGACTACAAAGCATGGATCACAATGGAATATTGATGAGAAAAGGACATGATTATGAATAATATCCCTATGTAAATCTTTTTTCTTCCTTTTCATATTTAATATCCCTTGGTCAAACTCTATGGCTCCCAATTGCCTGGAGAATACATTATAATTGCTTAATATTACATTTAATATATCTCACAAATTGGCATACCAGCATTCCTCTCCTCTGCCTTCCACCCCCACTGCTGTCCCCCTGCACTTTGTTTTTTGTCTAGAAGCCTTACTGATGCATTTTGGCCTCCTTTTATTTCTTCGGACCACCCTTCTCAGCCTTTTATATTTTTATCTCATCTATTAACAAGTTATATCTTTCTAATAGCTCATTTTATCATGTCTCATGTTTTTAAATGACTTCTAAGAAATTATGTACACACTTTCTTAAGATGCATTATTCTTTCTTAATTATATTGTTTTCAATAATAAATTATTTTCAATTTCGAGCTAATAGAGAATTACTGATTTCTTCCACTGAGTTTACAGCCTGAAGTCTTACTAATTTTTCTCACCAGGTCTTATTAATGTTTCATTCCTTTTTATCACTATTTCTTCCATCTTCTCCTCATGATTTTGACCATTGTCCTGGTCAATGCCTATTTTAAACAGTAGTTGTAGGAGTGGTTATCCTTATTTTATTTCAGATAAAAATTTATGAGCTGTATTAAGTAATTATTAGCAGATATTAATTTTATACAGATTTATGGTACATAGCTTTCTTTCAAGATTAGGAAGTTCCTTTTTGGTTGTAAGTTTCCAATAGTTTATACCAAAATTATGAATTGGATGTCACTAAATGTTTTCTGTATCTCTTGAAATAATTACTTTTTTAAAGCCTTTTCATACCATGGTTTTACTAGTGAAGTTTACCAAAAGTTTGGGAAAGGATAATCCAGGTTTCACACAATAAATAATAGTTCTCTACCTCCTTATTTAGTTGTGAATGGAACATTTATAAATTTATCTGTTACAGTTACCATCACAAATTCATATTTCATTATTGTTATCAAAATTATTTAAAATAAAAATTATTAATATTATTGTCTTACTTATTACATTGGTAAATTTCAAACTATGCCTCCTTGGACTTCTCTTAAACAAAACTGAGACAAAAGAAGTCAATAAGGAACTAAAAGAACAGTGCTTTCTTCCCCCTTGCAACCAGTGCTACCTCAAAGAAACCCTTATTTTTATTTGACTTCCACCTTATACTTCTGTATATATGTATATATATAAAGCACTATTATTATACTTGATCTTCAAGTGATATTTCTTAAAGTAAAAATAAATTAGATGGACTTTATACAGTATATAACATCTATTCATAATAAAATTGGCTAGTCAATATTTTCAATTCACTTCAATTTCACATTTAAAATTTATTCAAACACACAAATCCTTCTATAGAGGAACATAAAGATGCATTCTTTTTCTCAATAAGATTACTCTCCTCAAAGGGTTTATATGCAGCTACACAACCACCAGGAGGTCAGACTGAGGTTTAAAAAGACACTCAACCATAGAAGGCCACATTATGACTTTGACTATGTGTCCTTTTTCCATGAAAAGTCAAGAGTCATATTTTACTTTTACATGAAACAAACATGAATATGTAAATATTATGTAATAAAATCTAAAAGTTCCTCCTCAGATTTTAAAAGAAATCAAAATATTTGTCTAGGTTCCTCACGATATAAAAACCTTGCTGCATCTATTAGATACATCAGCCCTGAAGCTAGGGACCAATATTTCAAATACAAGTAAGAAAATAAGATCTTTTCGGGTAATATAAATGATTGAGACCAAATGAAAATGACGTTATTGACAACCTATGTTCTTGATGCTCCTGATGAGAGGTAAAAGAGTGAGGAGAGCATGCCGAAAGAATGGAAAGATGTGCTTGAAATTCTACTGCTCATTGTAGAAAAGTTCAGTGCTTTCAAACATTCTAATTTACTTGAAGCCAAACTGCAAGTGCATGTTTTGATGCCATATCCCCTGATCCTAAAACACTGACCTCTGATTCACATTTAAGATACAGTGCAGACAATAAAAACTAAACAAAGCACATCTTCCTGCTAGATCCAGGCTTCTGGGAACCGATTTGCAGCCAATGGGTCAAGAGGCAGAACTTGAGGAAATGGTAATAGAATGATCTGTGATTCAAAGATCTTTCTCCTTCATTCTGACAAAGTTGGGTTGAGATTCCTGCTCTAGCGGCCTGGGTTTAGGTAAGAAAATTTCCCTAAGATTAAATTGTTGCAACTCCCATTAAGGAGAATGAAATCTCTCAGAGGGAAAATGAGACAGATGAGAAGTGGCTAACTCTCAGTTTTCCTCTGTGCCAGCTGGAGTCGGGACAGAGATTGGCTAGCAGCGGTGCGCTCTGCCTCCCAGTGCTCCCCCTCACTCCTCCAGTGCTCTGAGACTTCTAGCTTCAGTATACCCCCTAGCTATCAAACCACCATTCACCACTCCAACATGAATGCAGCCGGACAGCCTGCTTCTCCTCCTCAATTTCTGCCACTTCAAACAGTACAGTTGCCTTTTTGAAGAAGGGAATGGGCACCTGGGATGCCTAAAGTCAGGAAGAGAGGGATCTGAGTCCCTTATTTGCATACCCAACACTCACAGCTGGCTTTTAGCCCTGCCCCTCACTGAACCAGGCCTGAAGTTGCTATGTAAGCGGCACTCCTCAACCACATCTTGAGTTTTGGCCTAGGAGGGCATCCTCCTGTATAATGCTTATACTGACCCCTGTGCTGCAGCACAGGCCCTGTTAAAATATAAAGTTGCTTTGGTGTTCCTGAAAAAAGAAAATGTTGCAGGCAACTATAGAACTGCAGTAACACAGAATATGGTTCTTTTTAAAAGCAGCTTCTGTAGTTGTGTATTAATAACTTTCTCTTCTATCACCCACAGACTACTTCTGTTGGAGAAAGGCTATCCTTAATATGGAAAGAACCAATGATTCCACACTGACAGAATTTTCCCTGGTTGGGCTTTCTGCCCATCCAAAGCTCCAGACAGTTTTCTTGGTGCTGGTTTTGTGAATGTACCTGATGATCCTGCTTGGAAATGGAGTCCTCCTCTCAGTGATCATCTATGATTTTCACCTGCACACCCCCATGTATTTCTTCCTCTGTAATCTTTTCATCCTGTACATTTGTTATACAAGCTCCTCTGCTCCACTAATTCTTGACAGCTTTCTGACAGTAAGGAAAAAGGTTTCCTTCTTTGGATGTATGGTACAAATGTTCCTCTCTTTTGCCATGGGGGCCACTGAGTGGGTGCTTTTAGGCATGATGGCACTTGACCACTATATGGCCATCTGCTATCCACTGAGATACCCTGGCATCATGACCAAGGGTGTCTATGTGCCCATGGCAGGTGTATCCTGGGTCCTTGGGCTTGTTGACTTAGTGGCACAGCCATCTTTCACAATGTAATTACCATTCTGCACCAATAATGTCATTCAACATTTTTTCTGTGAAATTCTGGCTATCCTGAACCTGGCCTGTGCTGATATTTCACCTAATGTAATCAGCATGGCAGCGTCAAATCTGATTGCTCTAGTTGTTTTCTTGCTAATAATTTCCATCTCTTGTATTTTTATTGTTGCCACTATCTTGAGAATTTCTCCCACGGGAGGAAAACGTAAGGCCTTCTCCACCTGCTCAGCCCACCTCACAGTGGTGATTTTATTCTATGGAACCCTCTTCTTCATGCATGCAAAGCCCAAGCCTAAAACCCCTGCTGATACAGTTAATCAAGACATCTTTGAGTCTCTCATCTCCCTCTTCTTTTTTGGGGGGGGGGGGGGTACCAGGGATCAAATTCAGGACCTTGCACTTGCGAGGCAGGCGAAAATCTGAGCTAAATCCCCGGCCCTCATCTCCCTCTTCTATGGGGTGATGATTCCCATGCTCAGCCGTCTCATCTATAGTCTGAGGAACAAGGATGTAAAGGCTGCTGTTAAGAATATGTTGGGTAGGAAAGACTTTTCTGATGACATGAATACTTGTTTACACCACGTGATTCAGTATTAAAAGTGGCTGCATGGCCGGGGATTTAGCTCAGTGATTCTGCCACCTGCCTCACAAGCCCAAGGTCCGGAGTTCCATCCCCGGTACCAAAAAATTAAAACTAAAAAAATAAGGGCCAGGGATTTAGCTCAGCGGTTCCACCGCCTCCTGCGCAAGTGCAAGGACCTGAATTCGATCCTCAGTACCCCCCAAAAAAACCAAAAAAAAGTGGCTGCAGACACAAAATTCAGAAAGAGAAATTTACCATGTGAAAATAAATTCATCATGTGACCTTCAAAACAGTGTGATAGAAATAGTTTGGTTTCTGAAGTTATGATTAGTGTTTTTTATTTTTTTGCTTGAATTCTTTTATTGGTACATTTTAGGTATATAATACATTTACATTTATCATTGGGTGCTTGTACTTGTACATGGGAAAAATATGGTTAGTTTTTTTAAAATTTTATTTTGAACAATTTCTTCATATTTTACAATATCTATTATACATTTTGGTCCTTCATATTTATACTTTCAGTTTCTCACACCACAGAGACAATGTGATATTTACACGTGTGTCCAATTTAATTCACTTAAGAGTATGGTCTCAAGATGTATCCATTTACCTAGAAATGTCTCTTTTGTCCTTCTTTATGGCTGAGTAGTACTCCATTATATTTTTTTAAAGCCATCTTTTTTATTCATTCATAGTTTTTTGTTCAAACTGTAGAAATGAGACATTGTCCTGGCTTTAAACCAGGCAAACTATTGGTTTACATGTTTACAGATATGCAAACTGTTGAAAATCTCTTAGGAAGATCGAACCTCACATCTCTCCCAAAAATATCCACACTTTTAGAAAATAATAAAAGGAAAATGTGTCCTAAAAAGCAATTGTAACTTATAATAAGTACATTATTAATTAGTAAGCAAAGTGAGTATTAGCACATGATGTAGTATACACTCATTTTTAATTTTTTCATTTTTTTACTGTTTGTATTCACCACAAATAAAAATTCTTATCCAGCATCTTCTCTGTTTATTATTATATAACATCCCAAAGCCCTGTAACAAAGCCTGGAACATAATAAATTCTCAACAAAATGTTTAATAAATAAGTGAGCACCCTGATATGTAAAACCAGAAATGTATGTCTGTCATAGCAGGGCTAAAAAGAGTTATTCAAAGAGAAAATGTATGAAATGAAATATTCCAAAATTGATTAGCATTTTATTATGTAAGCATTCCTTGGTAACTAAGGCATTATCTTCTTCAGTGTGTGTGATGTCTATTATAACATAAAATAGTAGATTCTTTGCTTGTCAGCTACCATAATTTTTCTGGAATTTTGTACACAATGAGACTATGATAAATGAAAGAGTTCTGTAATAATACATCCTAAGTTTTAAATTAATGAAATACAGGTTATGTGGTAGCAATCTCATGAGTTCTGAGAAGAGACTAGTCTTAAAGAAAATCTTCTTACCTATGCTGCCTGGGATCACACAGCTTCTAGGCAGGAGAGCTGGAAAGAACCGACAGCTATTGCAATATGAAGATAAAAGGCAGAGATTGAGTCAAAATCTTCGACTAAGCTACAGGGTTTGGGGGTTTGGGGGTTTGGGGGTTTAGCAAGATATGACCCTAAACTGTGCGGCAGCAACTATGTGAACCATGAGAACTCAGCATTTACTGAAGGAACTGAGTCAGATGTGGCCAGTAGAGGAAAGCACTCTCTTTATCTAGTTATTTGAAGAATTCTACGGTAGCTGGATATAGAACACAAATCTAAAGTAAACAGTTATAGTTACTTCTTCCTTTCTTGTGAATGGATAATGGTTGTTATTTCACAACATTACATAAATTAACTCATAAATGGCACTTAATACTGCCTAGAACAACCTAAAAGCACAATAAAACATTAGCTGTTTTATCATTTTCAGTGTTGGGTATACTTTAATAGGTCATACAGCTTTGAGCTGCCACAAAACTTCATCCTTACACTAAGGAACAATTTTGATTCTATTAAGTTATTGGCTCTTGGATTCAAATATAGTTTGCTATATTCTTTTTTGTGGGCTGGATTGGGATACTCAAAACCACACTTACCTTTGTTAACTAGCTTCTTTTAGATTTCACCAAGAGTTGCTAGAGGGAAAATGAAAGGTTGGATGAAGATAAAAGACTTGTTGCATTACCTTCTTCTCAGCACAATCCCAGCTTTGGTTCTTTGCCATTACAACTATGTGCTTCCAATATTGCTTTTAGTTTCACCAAAGCACCTCATAAGAATGAATTAAAAGAACTCAAACAGCAGACTTAAGGAAGGACCTCCAACACCCTATTGACACATTTAATCCTTTTGAGTCTTTTCAAGTGCCTGGATAAAATCCTCCTCAGCCTCTGCCTCTGATAAAATAAATAAGAAACACACAGATCTACATCTATAAAACACAGTTAAAGATGAGTACCTCATTCCTGCTGTTCCTCCCACAGAGTGAATGGAATAAGTCTTTATAATCCATACTACCAAAATGAAACTAGACTACATCAATCTCCATGCTTAAGGCACTATCTTGTTTTAGTGCATCTGTTGCATGATATTCTAGATTTTATTAGAGTCGCTTCTGCTGAAATACAACTGGATACCAAATAAAGCTTACTTATTGAGATACATTTGACACTACCAAAGTGGTTATTTTCTCCAAGAAAACCCTTATTCTGTGTCATGTTGTAATCATTAGAGCTATTTTTGAACATTCTGGTTATCCTTATAGGAACACAGAAAGATTGCCATTTCCCTTCAAGCTAAGCCAAATTTTCTTTGCTTTGGTCAGTGAAATTCTAGCAGAAATGATGAGTATAATTTCTTGATAAACACATGTATTTGGCAGCATGACATATTGCTACTTTCTTCCTCTTGCCAAAGTGGAAAAGGACATTTGAAGCAAGGTGCTTCTATCATATCAAGTCCTTAAGTGGCTTGCTTAGAGCCTCCCTACCACATATGACACATATGTGCAGCAGGATCAATAAGTAAACTTGTATTGTGATAAATCACAGAGGATTGGGGGCTGTTTGATACCACATGTTAACCAAGAATATTCTGGCATACAGACACTCACACACCCCAAATAAAAGAAGAAATTAAGTGATGAAACAAAACTGGAAGAACTGAAAAAGCAGTAATAGTAAGATTATCCTGATAGGAAATAAGAGCATCATCTCTAAAAATGGATCTAAAACCTTGTAATAATTTTGTGCTGCCTAGGACTCCTCCATTAAACCTAAAGAGGTTTGATGTACCCACAAACATAGCAAAGGATCCCTGTGGTTGCCTTTCTATAATGTACTTTACAAAACTGCAGTACATTTAAGACACATTATTCACACCCTAGAAATCACAGACTTGAAATTATTGACAATTTTCAGAGATATAGGAAAGTGTCTCATTCTATCATCAAAAATCACTGAATGCGTACTGCCACTAAATGCATAAAGGTAATAGGTATGTATTGATACAAGGCTAATTTAACCAGAAGATGTGTAATTTCAAGGTTATTCCCTTATAAGAGAGCTTCAAAATATAAAGTAAAACCAAATATAATTATATGTCCTTGTCAATCACTGAAAAAGTAAACACACAAAAATTTATAATGATGTAAAATATTTGAACAAAAAAATTAGCAAGCTTAACAACCCAACTATTATGTATACACACTCTTCAAAAATGTATAATTAATATTGTGAAATAGGAAGAAAAAAATCTAAAGGAATGGGGAAGTGGGAGGGATAGGGGAAAGGAAAGAAGGGAAAAGAAAAAATATGAGAAAAGGAAAAAATGGAAACAAAGTCTTTGTAAATAGGGAGGGGTGGAGGGGGCGAATGGAGGGTGGGGAAATGGGGAAAAAAATAAGAACCAAGATACATCATGTACAGGTACAAGATCCCAGTGATGAATGTAACTGTATTGTATACCTAAAATGTACCAATAAACTTAATTTTAAAAAGCATATATAGCATATATACAAAAATTGATAACGTTAGGCTGAAATGAAGAATCAGAAAATTTCAAGACATAGTATTAACCAGTACATATTTTCCTTTCTAAATACAATGTAGTTAAACACAACTAATTTTAAAATCTCCCTACCTAGGTACAACTAAAACACACTTCAAAATAACTAATGATTGTAGTGAGATACAAAATTTTTAAAAAATTTAAAAATTTTATTTTATTGGTACATTTTAGGTATGCAATATAATGACATTCATCATTGGAAATTTGCACCGATACATAATCTCTCTTGTTTCTTATTTTTTCACTCTTCCCTTACCCTTCCTTCGACCCCTCCATCCCTCCCTATTTACAAAGACTTTGTTTCCATTTTTTCATTTCCTCATATTAATTCCATTCCCTTCTTTCCTTTCCCTTGTGCCTCCCATTTCCCCTACCGCTTTGTCCCTTTTCTTCCTATTTCACATTATCTATTATACCTGTTAGTTCTTGTTTACAATTTCAGTTTCTCACACTAGAGAAAGTATTTGGTATTTACATGTGTCCTATTTATTTCACTTAAGGGTATTGCCTCGGGCCGGGGATTTAGCTCAGTGATTTCGCCGCCTGCTGCGCAAGCGCAAGGACCCGAGTTCCATACCTAGCACCAAAAAAAAAAAAAAAAAAAAGAGTATTGCCTCAATGTGCATCCATTTAGCAATAAATGTCTCTAATTTCTCATTTTTTATGGCTGAGTAATACTCCATTTCATTTAAAAAACAAAAACAAAAAAAACCAAACACATTTTCTTTAAGTCTCCAGTTGATGGGCATTTGGACTGCTTCCAAGTTTTGACTATTACAAACTGTGCTGCTATGAACATGGGTACACATATATCACTGTGGTATGATTCTTTTAATTCTGTGGGGAACATACACACCAGGGGAAAAGCTGGGTCAAATGGGACTTCCAGTCCTAGTTCTTTGAGGTATCTCCATACTGATTTCCACAGTG